TCTAGGCAAGGTTGGGTCTAGCCATGTAGGGCACCTAAATAATAAGATTCACTCGAATGAGTCTTAATCAGTTTTGAAAGGGGTAGTCTTAAGTTTGGAGGGTCTAAGGATAAAATGGTGTTTTCAAAGATAATGGTAGTATTGTAATTATCCTATATATTTAATCAAGTAATTAATTATTGAAAATAGTTGATAGTTCAGGTAAGGTTTACCCGAATTGACCCATTTTCGCGAGTTAGGCTTCACCCGGATTCGATCCTTGGTGGAAGCAATGATTAAATTGAATTAATTGATATTTAATGATTGAGTTGAATTAATTGGTATTTAAATTTCTGATTAAAGTAAGGGAAAATCAGATTTTTAAGAAACAATTAATAATAAAATAAATAAATAACAAAGAGTCCTAGTTGGACTAAATCTTCAACTAAAACTCCTACTCCTAAGCTTACTCTTATCTCGCTCCACTCTCATTCTCACGTCTCTCACTCTCATTCTCACGTCATCAGCAAAAAGGAACAAGAAAATCAAAGTTCATCACTTGAAGAACTTGCACATAAAAACTTAAGAGAAAAACTAAGCTTAAAAGGGAAGGCGAAAGCATTTTTCAAATGGTTTGTGCGTGAGTTTTGTTGGAGAAGCATTTGTTTTTCGTGGGAGTTGGCATCATATGAGATCAGATTTAAAATGTGTTAAACAAAGATAAAAAGGTATGGGTTTTCTTCCTCTTGGTCCATTTCCCAAGAGACCCCCAAAATTTACTCAAATTCTAATCCAAAAATTAGAAATGTTCCCCTTTGCATGTCCCTGTCACTAGCTCCCATCGATTGTTGAAGGTTGGGTATGTTTTCTGGTAGAAATTAGGGATATGATGTTTTCATGATGATTATTTTCATGTATGTATGTTCGGATTTATGTGATGATGAAAATTTGTGCAATATGTGTGTAGCCGTGTTCTTGGGCATGTTTTGGAGCATGAAAATGGCACGTGAAAGCATTGTGTTTTTTGTATAAGATTACTTGGAAAAGGTGCACATAATAATGTACGAAATATCCAGCGAATTACCTAAGAATCTAACGTATAAATGATGATAAAAAATGGACTAAAACCGTGACAAAATTTCCAGAATAGCAACAAGTGAGATACTAAAATTTTTATTTTTTTTAAAGATGTGAGGTCATAAGGGATTGAACCCAAGACCTCACCATATGCTAGATATTAAAAATCCAATAATAAAAATGAGATAAGGGGGATTAGGAATGGGATAAGGCTGAAGTGAAGGAATGACAGAGGAAAAAAATAAAAAAAATTAGGTGTGTGCGGATCGAACCCACAACCTCTTGGATAGGTGAGGGAGATAGGAGAAAAATGGAAGAAAATTAAAATGAGGGGTGTGTGAATCAAACCCACAACCTCTCTAATCGGTGAGGAAGTTGGGAGAAAAATTAAATAAAAATAAGATGAGGCTGTGGGGTATCGATACCACATCCTCTTGGTCCCCATCGAAAAAGAGAGGAAAGAAAAAAAAAGGAAAAAGAATTGTAGGTGCTGGGATTCGACCTCAAGTCTCCAAGCAGAAAATACAAATCAAAAACTTAATATGAGAGTAAAAGGATTTGAAACAGGGTTCCCTTGCCCAGATCCGTGTTTATACATAAGTCTTACGTGAATAAATATTTAACAAATGCTTCCCATAGGAATAGAACTAGAGACCTTGGCATACTTACAAGATGCATAAGTCTTGTACCACATAATCTTAGGTAAGTATGAGTCACTTAAATGAATTATAAATGAAGCCTAATGGCTTGTACGTATGGATTCATAAGTCCAGCGTACGTTTAAAAGTAAGTGATCCTAATATGTATGTAATGAATTTATGTGACTTCGGGGGGGGGGGGGGGTTAAGTAAGAGTGTGATACACACTTAAAAGGACAAGTGTATTGACATATGAAAAAACTAAACATTCACGTAATGGGGTGAGTAATTATGAAGATCTAATATGCTAAAGCTAATGAAAGTAGTGATAACATGATAAGAGGCAAAGATGAATGGTGAGGCAAGTCTCAACCAAGCCTTAAGAAAATGTTACCAAATGTACTCACCTATGGGAGTGTAGAATGATGTAGAGTCAAATCTCAAGCGTACTCCAAAAGAAAGTGTTAAGAATGAATTCATAGTTAATAAGCAAAAAAAGAGTGACTACATCACTATAGGCTAGAGCAAGTGAGACAAGCTTCATCTACGCCTAAAAACCAGTCACTAAAATGAAATTTCTAAGTGAGTGTATTTATGCTAGACGATGAATAAGAAAATAAAGATTTGCTACATGAGGATGGGCTAGTACAAGTGAGACAAGATGTATCTACGCCTAAAATCAATGTCCCTCCATGTAAATCTCAAAATAGCATGTATATGTTATCCGTGAACAAATAATAAAAGGTGAGTAAAGACGAAACAAAAAGATGTTAAGAAAGAACAGGTGGCACCACAATATGAGGCTAATTCAAGTGAGACAAGATGTACCTACACCAATATAATGTCACCAAAACTACTCACCTAAGAGATTTTTGAATATAAAGAGTCAATTCTCAATCACAATGTATATGTAAGTGTAAGGACAATTCAAACTTAATACGTATAGAAGAGATGATAAATCATATAATAAGCTATGACTACCTCATGCTAAAACCAAGCTTCGATGATATGTGAGTTAAATGTAAATACGAACTTCAAATGGAGCTATAATTTGCTAGGTATGAGTGGTGATGTCTTTTTTCTGCAACGGTGGAGGTTCACGTAATTCTCATGAGATGAGATCAAAGGTGGGCATGGTTCTCCCTTAATCTCCTAGTCTTTAAACTATGCTTCCAACATAGGGAACTAGCCAGTGGTTTTTCACCTAAGATATCTAGGGATGTTTTGGTTTCACTTTATCCAGTGACTCCACCTCTTTTCTGTGTGGGGAAGACACCAGATTTCATGATGCTCACATAATCTATGTTAGTTAAAGTTTAAGTTCCTCAAAGTATGAAATATAATGAAATGAATGATACTAAAGATGTATGTGCACGACAATCAGGAGATGAAATCAGATTCGGGTAATGACATTAGGTTATTCTTGGTCATTGCACATTATTATTCCGTTGAGTGTCTTAATCTTCATTCTAGGTATATATGGTGTTTATATCGGTCTACAAATGAATGAAATGAATAATGTGACCTACGTATAAATGAAAGAAGTAGACTCTGTGTTAGATAAAGAAGGCTCCCAAGATGAGGTCCCATATGATGAGCCCTAATTTGGGAAGTCCTAATGTTAAGTCCGTGATTCCAATGTCTGATGGTATAAAAACGAATGGTATGCTATATATGTATGTTATATATGAAATATGTTATGTGTTGGGTGAAATACTAAAAGAATGATGATGGATGTTACTCCCATAGCATGACTTTCCTGATCAGATTTGGCAAGGCCAACTGACTTGGCTTTCCATAATTCATATCGTTAGGAGAGAGTTCTTTTTAATCATGCATTTCCTTGGTGTGTACTTGCATACATCCATACTTAGTACAAGTGTGTACTAATCCCATACATTATAGTATTTTAGGTACAGGTTTATGAGGGTGTTGAAGACATTCATTGCAGCTGTTCGGAAATCAGAGCTTTTCATCAAGACTTTGTAGGTCCCCATTCATTCGAGCATGTCTGCAATTATGCTTCTAGCTTAGTAATAGGTTTAGGCTAGTGGATCATGTTCCACTAGTATTTCTTTCCTATTTTTTAAAAACTTATGTAATGGTGGAATTTTGGCAATTGTTACTAATGCTATAAGACTATTTATTTCAAGATTGAATGACTCTTTATTAGATGGTTTATACGCATGAGCAATGAACTTATTTTTATATATATATATATGCATGTTATAACAATGATGTCTATTTACACTTCAAACAAAACACAAAGTTTCAAATTTTCTTCTAAAAGTAACCTAACGAATGTAATGACGACGTAAGTAGGCTTGTCTGCGACCTCTGAGAGGTCAACGATGTCGGTTTCTGCTAGGGTCTTGACCTCGGTCCTGAGATTAACAAACTAAGTGTTTTCATTGTTTTAAAAGTTTATATACTGCATGTTTTAACTGCTTTACATAAAATCAAGTTATTCATATGTTGAGTCTAATATCTCATATTCTAGATAAAATAAGATTAATCTAAGAAAAACAAGAAGATTCAAATTTGGAAATAAGTAAGGAAAATCTGGAAAATTTCAAATTTTCAAAAGTGAGTTTTGGTCATTTTTAAACGACCATAATTCGCAGCTCAGGAGGAGTTTTGACACCATTTTTGCGAATTTTCGAGGTTGTATGAGGGAGATATGACTTTGGGAAGTTAGGTTGTTGAGCCGGGAAAGTTCCAAATCTGGATTTGTTAAGGGTGTTTTTATATTTTCCTAAATTAATTATTATTTTTTTTAGGGGTAATAAGTTGGGGTCTAAGATGATCCCAATTGGTTTCCACATTTAGAAAATAATATAGGGATTTGAGAGAAAGAAGAAAAGAGGAGAAGGGAGAAGAAGAAGCACGAACGCCAAAAATTCATTCATTTATTTTGTCGAGGGTGATCCCTAACAAGGTATATGAGATCATTTGGTTTTGGGTTCTTTCGACCACATACAAATTGTTTTAATTCTTTAAAGTTTGTAATATTGAATGAAGAACATGAAATTCTTGATGAATCTTTGTGAAATCTTGTTGGTTGAATTGTAGCTGATGTCTAGTAGTTTGGGTTCTTGTTTTCGGGTCTAAACTATTGGGTAATGCGTTAATCGGGGGTCATTAGTGTTTGGGTTGGAATTCATGAGTGTTTGGGAAGGTTTAGAGACAAAAACAAAAAAAGAATGTCTGAAAACTTGTCAAATAAGCAATGGAGCACTGCGTCTCCAAAGCCGCTCAGGACAGAGTCGTTTTGTCATGATCTGGTGCGCCATGCCCGAGGAAAACCTCTCTCCATCAGGATCTGGTGCTCTGCCCCTCTCAAAGCGCCCATACCCTCCAGGAGACTCCATTCTTTCCCTATCTTTTTGTAGTAGTTCTTAAGTGATGTACCCTTCGTTACTGGTGGATTCCAACACTCTAGAGTACATTTATCATCATGATACCATCCATAAACATCAGATCATGATCCTTGAATCCATAATCAAAATTCAAGGGAGGTTTGGATCAATGCCAAGAAAGTAAGAAGTCTAGTCTAAAACTATGAAGTGAGTAAAAGTAAAGTTTTCAAGTTTTTAGAGTCTTACTTAAACATTTCAACTTTCTTTAAGGCTCAAGTTAAAGTTAAAGAAAAGAGTAAAGATTGAGTACATTTCTCAAAAAGGTATAAGGGAACTAAGTATTCCTAATAGTTAAAGTTTCAAGTTAAGTAAAGAGCAAGAGTTGAGTTCATTTCTATAAAATGGGATTAACTATTCCCTAAAGGTTGATAACATCTTTTACATTTAAGTTTAAAGGAAAATAAAGAGTTTTAAAAGAGTGTAAGGTTGATTTCATTTATCAAATGAATATAAGGGAACTAAGTATTCCCTAAGAATTAAATTAAAGTTTCAAGTTAATTAAACAGCAAGAATTGTGTTCATTCCTCTAATGTAATAAAAGGGGACTAAGTATTCCCTAAAGGTTGATAAATGTTTTACACTTAAGTTTCAAGGAAACTATGGAGTTTCAAAAGAGTTTTTAACTAAAGAGAGGAACATTGATTCCAAAAAGAAGCTTTTTAAGATAAAGGTTCTGTAAATTATCTCAACCCAAAGGAAGGAAATTTTAGTAAAAACTGTGAGCTAAAGCATGTTTTAGGAGTAGTATTGAGCATCAATGTGGGTATGAGAGTTCAGATAACTCAAGTCCCCATATAAACTATGTAGCCATCATGGCTATGAAAGTTTCTTACTTTTTAGATGATAATGTAAGGTAAGCAAGTGGATCCACTAGGTAGAGGATGTTCTATGCGACAACAAAGTATTGGACAATTATGGAAGTGTGAACAAGACGCTGTATCACTAATTAGACTCATAGTGGTTGTTGTCGGCTAGAGAAACTCCCACTGAAGCTATATAACATTCAAATATAGTAAATTTGAGTTTATTATCATTATATCTTTAATTAACTAAGAGTTACACTGTTTTATATGTTTTTCACATATATATTGCTTATGTATTTTTTGGTTTTATATTAAGTTTTTGTCTTATGGGTTGAGAAAAGCCAAGGTAAGCTGATCCTTACTCCGTTTCAAGATTAATAGTTGTACTTAGCATTGTTACTTGCATACTCGTACATTCAATGTAACGATGCTAGTTGGCCTGCATCATTTAATTATGTAGATGCATGTACCGGTTCTTCGTTGATCAAGATTTGTCTCCACGGTCAGTGGTGAGCCTCCTTGCATTCCGAAGGACATCCATTTCATTTACTTTAGTAGTTTGGTTTTATGATTTTGTGGGGTTTGTCTCAACATCCCTCATAAGTTAGTGTAGAGGACTCATAGAGAATTAGTATTTGAGTTTGAAGTTTATTGTTACTTGTTGAGACTTGAGTGCCATTTTGGCCAGATAATGTATAAAATATTAGTTTTGAACATGCTGTTTTTGTTATGTAAGTTGAGTTTAGTCTTCCACTGAGTTAATGTGCCATACCAAGGGTTCGCTGGGAATCAACAATGGTCTACGAGTGATAGTTCCGCCCACGATGTAGGCTTGGGGCGTGACAAACTTAGTTTCAAATCCTAGAGTTCAAGATTCCTATAGAGTCTATGAATTTGTGTCTGTATTGTGTTAGTCACCGGTGTGAAGAGATCCACATCAATGATTAGGAGGCTACAACATTTAGGAATGTTTTCTTTCTTTCATGTTTCATTTGTTCAAAAACATTATATCTAGAGTCTTTCTATTATTTGTTCTTACACGTATTTTTTTAGGATCATTATGCCTCCAAGAAGAGAATTGAGAGATCGACCACGATGGAATGTTGAGGACCAAGTGGTTCCAAATGCACCAGAAGTGCAACCCCAAGGAGAGGTTACTAATGCCAAATTCTGGGAAGCTATCTAGATGTTAAGTCAGATTATGACCATCCAGGTTGGGCAACATAGAGCATCTCGACAAAAAGTAGTTGATACCTTGAGTGTTCGTGAGTTTCTTAGAATGAATCCTCCTAGTTTCACTGGATCAAACCCTACAGAGGATCCGAAGAACTTTGTGGAGGAGTTAAATAAGGCGTTTGCGGTAATGTTTGTGGTGGATGTTAAGAGGGTAGAATTGTCTTGACATAAACTAAATCTTGTGGCTAGAACTAGGTTTGATCAATGAAAGGATGGTAGAAATTACGATGCACCACATCCAAGTTGGGCTGCTTCGAAGAAGCCTTAAAGGGGAGGTTATTTCCTTGTAAACTGGAGGAAGCCAAGGTGAATGAGTTCCTTATTCTTAAGCAGGACTCCATGAGTGTACATGAGTATGGGATGAAGTTAACCCAACTATGCCGCTATGTTCTACAGATGGTGAAAGGCATGAGAAGCAGAATGAGTCTTTTTGTTGCAGGATCGGGAAGCTTTTAAAGTAAGAAAGATAGGACTGCCATGTTGATATGTGACATGGACATATCAAGGCTGATGATATATGTGCAACAATTTCAATCGGATAAGCTAAAGGACAGACCGGAGTACCTACACAAAAAAGAAAAAATTGGGAATGAGTCTTTCCAATTAAAAGATGGTTCAAGTCGACAAAAATTCTAGTAACCCAAGGGGCCAACAACAACATCTACTAGTGCACGTGTACCCTAAATTCGAGGTGAGTATAGTCACAAGAATTCACTACACTTCAAGGCTATAGTGGCTCAGTATCAAGGTATTGTGGCATAAAGAGGAAGTAGGGCTCATGTATGTACTAAATGTGGTAACCACCACCTAGGAAATTTTCGTGATGGCCAGACGGGTTGTTACAACTATGGTAAAGAGGGTCACTTCATGAGAGAGTTCCACAAGGATAAGCAAGGTGGTGAAAATCTCGGCAATAGTGATCAATCTGAATCACTTGCTCCACAAAGTAGGGTTGCACCTAGAGGATTCACTTCTGGTACAGGCGGAGGGGAAAATCGCCTCTATGCAATCACTTGCCGCCAAGAGCAAGAGAATTCTCCAGATGTTGTCACGGGTATGATCAAAGTTTTTACTTTTTATATTATGTGTTGTTAGACCTAGGAGCAAGTTTATCCTTTGTGACGCCTCATGTTGCAAATCAGTTTGAGATTCTCCCTAAAAATCTTTGTGATCTTTTCCGTGCTTCTACACTTGTTGGGGAGTTTATTCTAGCGAAAAGAGTCTATCTTGATTGTCATGTTTCCATCAATTACAAGGATACCATGGATGATCTAGTAGAATTTGACATGGTAGATTATGATGTGATTCTATTTATACAATTGATCCATGACTTTTATACATCAATAAATTGCAGAAATCGAGTTGTCAAGTTTCAGATTCCTAATGATCCAGTCATAAAGTGGGCTAGTAGTTCAGCAGTGCCTAAGGGTCGCTTCATTTAGTATCTTAAGGAGAGAGAGTTAGTTTATAAGGGATGTATAAATCACTTTGTCAGAGTTAATTACTAAAGTGTTGAGGTACCTTCCCTTTAGTTAGTTCCTATTGTCAGTGAGTTTCCAGAAGTCTTTCGCGATGATTTACTTCGAATCACTCCCGAAAGAGAGATATACTTCGGCATCGATGACATTCCAGATATTCATCTTATTTCTATTTATCATACATAATTGCACCAACAGAGTTAAAAGAGATAAAAGAGCAATTGAAAGATCTGTTAGGTAAAGGATTTATTCGACCGAGTGTCTCACCCTGGGGCGCTCCGATCTTGTTTGTTATGAAAAAGAATGGGTCCCTTAGGATGTGTATAGATTACAGTCATCTGAATAAGGTGACCATCAAGAATAAATCTCCTCTTCAAAGGATGGATGACCTTTTTGATCAACTTCAGGGTGCTTCTTGTTTTTCCATGATTAACCTGATATCAGGGTATCATCAGTTGACCGTAAGGGAATGTGATATTCCAAAGACATCTTTTAGAACAGGGTATGGGCATTATGATTTTTGGTTATGTCCTTTAGTTTGACAAATAAACCGGTAGCGTTCATGGATCTTATGAAAAAAAATTTCAAGCCTTATCTAGATCTGTTCGTCACCGTCTTCATTTAGGACATATTGATTTATTAAATGAATGAAGAAGATCATGCATGTTACCTAAGGGTTGTTCTTCAGACGTTGAGAGATAAGGAGTTGTGTGCCAAGTTCTCCCAATATGAGTTTTAGCTTAAGTCTGTGGCATTCTTAGGCCACATTGTTTCTGGTGAAGGTATTATGGTTGACACTCAAAAGATTGAGGCAGTTCAGAGTTGGCCTAGACCAAAATCTCCAACATATATAAGGAGTTTTTTTTGTGTTTGCTGGCTATTATAGGAGATTTGTGTAAGGATTCTCATCTATATCCTCTCCTTTGACCCAATAAACATAGAAGAAAGTCAAGTTTCAATGGTTTGAAGCTTATGAGAAAATCTTCCTGGAGTTGAAAAGAAGATTGACTACCACTACAGTTTTGACCTTACTAGAGGGTACTAAAGCGTAGGTGGTGTATTGTAATGCATCAAGATGTGGCTAGGGCTGTGTATTAATGAAGAATAATAAGGTTATAGATTATGCTTCAGACAGTTGAAAGATCATGAGAAAATTATCCAACTAATGAATTTAAATTGTCTTTAGTAGTGTTCGCGTTGAAGATATGGCGTCATTGTTTTTATGGTGTTCATGTTGATAAATACACTATCAGAAGATATGTTCACTTAGAAAGAACTCAACCTTAGACATAGAAGGTGGTTGGAATTACTCAAGGATTATTACACCTAGATAAGGCTATTGTGGTTGCTAATGCCTTAAGCAGGTTGTCCATGGGAAGTATTTCCCATGTCAAAGAATAAAATAGGGAGTTAGCAATATTTGTTCACAGACTTT